GGGAAAGGGTTGGGAGAAAGGGTACCATGGGGCTGTATTAGTGACAGGGTATATTGTAGGTGTTACCATAGAAAAGGACCACAAACCAGAATTCAGAAGTTGGAGGCCAGAAGACCCAAATTGAGGTGTTGACAAGTTGACTTTTTCTAGAAGCTCAGAGATGGATTCATTTCTGGCCTCCATTTAGCTTCGGTTTTTAGACAGCAGCTTTCAGGTTCTTAGACTAACACTTCACTGAGGTCTCTTCAGATCTCTGCATCGTCTTCTCTTCTCTCTTCCTTCCTCTAATGAGGACACCTGTGTGTAGGGACTGCTCTGATCCAGGAGAGTCTCAGCATCCTCAGTTACATCCCCAAAGACCTTTTTCCAAATAAGTTCATACTCTCGAGCTCCAAAGGATGTATCTTGTTTGGCTGCTCAGATGAAGAAGCTGCTCAGCCCAGCACAGGCATTATCCTAATGTATAAGAACATCCAAATTGAGGTGTTGACAAGTTGACTTTTTCTAGAAGCTCAGAGATGGATCCATTTCTGGCCTCCATTTAGCTTCGGGTGGCAGACAGCAGCTTTCGTCCATTTAGCTTCGGTTTTTAGACAGCAGCTTTCAGGTTCTTAGACTAACACTTCACTGAGGTCTCTTCAGATCTCTGCATCGTCTTCTCTTCTCTCTTCCTTCCTCTAATGAGGACACCTGTGTGTAGGGACTGCTCTGATCCAGGAGAGTCTCAGCATCCTCAGTTACATCCCCAAAGACCTTTTTCCAAATAAGTTCATACTCTCGAGCTCCAAAGGATGTATCTTGTTTGGCTGCTCAGATGAAGAAGCTGCTCAGCCCAGCACAGGCATTATCCTAATGTATAAGAACATGGGGCTCCCAGGTCATGCTAAAAGTAATTGCATGTTTTTGTGGTGTGGGTATGTGAATGAGTGTGTTGTACACATGTGCCATGGCATGTGTGTAATGACATGAGGATAACTTGTGGGTGCTGGTTCTCTCATTCTGCCATGTGGTCCCAGGGAGTGTAGGGACTGCTCTGATCCAGGAGAGTCTCAGCATCCTCAGTTACATCCCCAAAGACCTTTTTCCAAATAAGTTCATACTCTCGAGCTCCAAAGGATGTATCTTGTTTGGCTGCTCAGATGAAGAAGCTGCTCAGCCCAGCACAGGCATTATCCTAATGTATAAGAACATGGGGCTCCCAGGTCATGCTAAAAGTAATTGCATGTTTTTGTGGTGTGGGTATGTGAATGAGTGTGTTGTACACATGTGCCATGGCATGTGTGTGGTGGCATGAGGAAATTACATGTGGGTGCTAGTTCTCTCATTCTGCCATGTGGTCCCAGGGGTAAACTCAGGTTATCAGGCTTGGCAGCAGAAGCCTCTACCTGATGTGTCATCTTGCAGGCTCCCTAGTCCATTCTGATGTAAGGCAGGCACTGGAGGACATGGCTGTGTGTACAAACTTAGTGACTTTTATGCAATTTTGGTGTTTTTAAGTGGTTTTGAATTCCAGGTTAAGGAAAAGCACAGCAGGGATTCCCAAGTCTTGGCACCTTCAGCTCCTTCATCAGCTGATAGCCCACACTGTTGCTCAGGAGGGTACCCACCAGTCCTGAGATGCCCGTGTTTTCCTTTATGACCCTTTTCTCAGTTGCGATGGGCTCTACTGACTTTCTGTTCAGGGCTGGACGCCCTCCTCCACCTGGGCAGAGCCCCTCTAGGCAGTGCTCCCACCTGGGCAGTGCTCCACCAGGGCAAGACCCCACCATGTCCATCTGGTGGTGGGCACCCAAGGACTAGCTCACCAAGCCTAGGGAAGAAAGGGCTTGTTTCCCTTCCCTTTTTCTTTTTTTTTTTTTTTTTTTTTTGTAAATTACAATCATTTAATTTTTGTAAATTAAATGATTTGGGGGTGGAGGTGGGCAAGTGCTTGATATACAGCTGGAGTTCGAAGGTCAACTCATAAAATCTGTTCTCTCCTTCCACCCTATGAATCCCGGGAATCAACCTTGTGTCATCAGCTTTCATGGCCAGTGCCTCCACCCACTTAACCATCCGTAGCAGCTCCAAAGTATTTTTTTATCATTTAATTTTTGTAAATTAAATGATTTGGGGGTGGAGGTGGGCAAGTGCTTGATATACAGCTGGAGTTCGAAGGTCAACTCATAGAATCTGTTCTCTCCTTCCACCCTATGAATCCCGGGAATCAACCTTGTGCCATCAGCTTTCATGGCCAGTGCCTCCACCCACTTAACCATCTGTAGCAGCTCCAAAGTATTTTTTTTCCCGAGTGCTAGGATGAAAGGAGTGAGCCACCACCGCTCGGCCAAAAGCAGCTTTCTTACAACATAGAAAACCACAAACACAGAGCTCTCAGTTCAACAAAGAATCGCTCACACTAATCTTTGCTCCACTCTTTGAAGGAATCTCTGCAAGCCTGTCAAAATCTGGTCCCTCTATCCAAAGTGGTGCACAATGTTCTCACCAGTCTGGAGCGGACTTTCCAACCATCACTGTTAATGATACTGTTCAGCCAGGTCAACCTACGAGAATACCCCAGCCTGGCGGCAATTTTCAGAAGCTTCAAAAACGGTAATGTGGTTTCTCCAATAAATTTTACGTGTACAGTGCTGCTACGCTAAAAGCCTGGGTTTATCTCCAGTGTGGGAATATGCATTCTGGTGCCTGCTTTTCCTGTGTAAAGGTAAAATACACTTCACAAAAGCCCCTTCCTCCGGAATCCTGCCTCATTTGAGTTCCTGTCCTGACTTCCTTCAGTGATGAACAGCAATGCTGAAGTGTAAGCCTATTAAACCCTTTCCTCCCCAACTTGCTTTTTGGTCATGGTGTTCTGTTACAGCGATAGAAATCCCAACTAAGACATCTCCCACTCTCTGAATGTTGTGCAGATGGTAAGCTCTGTGTTAACTCCCATCAACTGCAAAAAGAAGCTTCTCTGATGAGGATTCAGTGGTGCACTGATCTGTGGATGTATTAGGGTTCTCTAGAGGAACAGAAAAGATAGAATGAATCTATATATAGGAAGAGGATTTATTAGAATGGTTTACAGGCTGTAGTCCAGCTAGTCTACCGATGGAATGTCCAAGAATCCAGAAGTTGTTCAGTCCAGGGTACCAGCTGGGTATCTCAACTGGTCTTCAGTATACATTGGAATCCCAAAGAAGTAGTCTCTAGTGCCAATGAAGGAATGGGCTTGCCAGCAAGAACAAGCAGGTAAAGAGAGCAAGCTTCCTTCTTCCATGTTCCTTCTGTAGGCTTCCAGAAGAAGGGATGGCCCAGATTAAAGGTGGATCTTCAAATCCTCAAATCTAGAGGTGGGGCTCTCCACTTCAAATGATAAAAGGTAGTGGGTCAGTCTCATAATGTTTGTGCCACTGTTGCACCCGTGAGAATGGCAGGTCACAGTATTGTAGCTCACTGTTGTAGGTCACGGCATCCCTAGCTGGGTGAGATTGATGCATAGGACGGCTTCCAGCACTACGAATGCTGGTCAGTAGGGGTAAAGCGCCATCTTGATTTCTCCATGTTAGATGACCTAAGTGTATGATTCGTTCAGCAGTAGGGTCTTACCAGCAGGTCATAAACAGTAACCAATAGCATTGGCAGTAGCCTGTAGTGTTTGGGGGCAGGGGAACCTGTGGCATGCCTTTGGCCACTGACTCAAAATGATGTAACACATTCCTGGGACTAGGAGTTTTATTTGGTAGCATATGGTATCTTATTGGGGCATTGTCTCCCCCATTATATGATAACTCCATTTAAATTCCACATATATGTATTTATTTTAGGGAGCTTCCACAGGAGTAGGTTTCTAGAAGGCCAACTCATTTTTGGTGATATATCAGTGACTGAGTATCCAAATGAAATAAAAATCAAAAGCAGCCACAAGGAGGAACTTGTGGGGAGGAACCTGTTCCTCCCGGAAGGAACAGATCTGTGTATCTGGGGGAAATCAGTAACTCTGCCTCCTGTGCTGTGGGTAAAAAAGGTGCACTAGGCAATCCTTTTTGCCATATGACTTGTGAATCTCCAGGGTCATGATGTGTGCTCCTTTGCTAATTCCAGTTCGTACTGCCTATGAAGAGAATAAGAGAGCTGCTTATACCCTACCCAAAGCCCCAACCGACCCAGCAGAAGGGCACTCCTTCCGGACTCTGCTGCCACTGCCCCCACCCGAACCATCTCCACCAAGTCATCTGTCCTCTGCACCAAGAGTCTGTGAGCCCCGAGAAGCCTCACACCAAATCACTGAGATCCTGGATGAGCAGCCCAGCCCTTCTCACACAGCCGTGCCTCCCCCTGGCTTCATTCGGGAAGGAAAGACCACTGCAGGCAAGAAACAGATTTCTCTCCTTCAGCTTGTAACCCTCCCTAGGAATGCTTGCTCCCTGCCACTTAGAGCCCCCAATTGCTTCCTTCTGTTCATCTGTTCCTTTCTGTGCACCCACCTACCTCCACACAACCCTTTCTAAGAAAATCACAAGCATTGCCAGTGGCCAGTGGCCAGGGAGGCTCAGATCCCAGAACACCCTCTTCCTACACCTGGACACCCCATCCTCCGCCCTTGGCCTTGGTACTTCACCTTCTCTGACCCTTTAGGGCAATGGTTCTTAACCTTGCTAATGCTGTGTTGTGGTCATGCTCAATCACAAAATTATTGTCATTGCTATTTCATATCTGTGATTTTGTTACTGTTACGGATTGTAACTGTCTTTGGAGATGGAGGGTTGCCAAAGGGATGGAAATCCACCGGTGGAGAACTGTTAGGTTAGGCATTCACTCTCTTCCTCATAGCCAGTCCTGGAATCCATGCTTTTCCTTCCTCCTTCATCTGCCAGTTACAACCTAACAGCTACAACTGATAAGGAAGAGGACTCAGAAAGGAAGGCCAGCACTTCCCCCGACACTATGCAAAGTAACGCTGACTGGGCTGTGGAGGAAGAACATACACATGCCAAATGGAAGGCTGTGCTTGGAACCTCAGGAGAAATAGATAGGCATGAAAAGATGGGGAGAGAAGGTGATAAGGAAGAGGACTCAGAAAGGAAGGCCAGCACTTCCCCCGACACTATGCAAAGTAACGCTGACTGGGCTGTGGAGGAAGAACATACACATGCCAAATGGAAGGCTGTGCTTGGAACCTCAGGAGAAATAGATAGGCATGAAAAGATGGGCCTGGGAATAGATGGGGAGAGAAGGGGGGGGCTTTCCACAGACTCACGCTGCAAAGGAAACCTTCAAAGTGATGGGTGTCTGGGGATGTAGCCCAGTGGAAGATCACTCACCTTAAGGATGAAGGACTTCTGGGTTCAATCCGTAGTATATGAACCTCACTTCCTGTTCTGAACTGACACATAGCTTGTTATACACGTATAGTGATGATTCTCCCCTGACTATAGAAGCCTTTGAGTCTCAGCCTTATTCATTCCTTTTTTATTTCATAGTGCGTTAAGAGTAGAGCCCAGGGCTTCTTGCATGCTGGACAAACAATGACCTACATCCCTAACCCCCCTTATTTATTATTAGATGGATTAGATTCCAAGACATATATGGCATTAAAATTATTAGAAAATATTACAAAAATTTTAAAGGTCTATTGGACCTAATTTAGCTTCCAGACTTATGCCACTTGCCTTCCCCAAACCATCATTAATATTATAACACAGTTTAGTGACATTAACTACAGCAGGAGGTGCTACTGACATTGCCAAAGATATATTATTATGGATTCCCTGCTCTCCAGGACTGAGAATAAAGGAGTCCTGTTTGAACTCAGTGACATTTCTCTCACTCTTCTGATACATTTAACATAATCAGAAAGCTAAAGTCAACAGAAGGGTTCATCTTCCACTTTAAAAAAAAAAGAGTAAATACTGTTATTAAATTAATGAGTTGCTAATTAAGAGTAAGTGACTGGCCGGGCAGTGGTGGCACATGCCTTTAATCCCAGCACTCGGGAGGCAGAGGCAGGTGGATCTCTGTGAGTTCGAGACCACCCTGGTCTACAAGAGCTAGTTCCAGGAAAGTCTCCAAAAAAAAAAAAAAAAAAAAAAAAAAAAAAAAAGAGTAAGTGACTGTTCTGTTCGCTGTTCCGTCTCTATCCTATTTTACCCAGGTCACTTGCGTTCCTTGCTGGGTAGTTAGAATCACATCTGTTCTCTTTACCACTCTGGTCCCTGCTTGCTCATCCTGAAAGCTTCAATTCTTTTTCTTCCCTCTGCTCAGAGTCTTCCAGGGATCCCCCGAGAAATGATAAAGACGACTCTACAGAGACGCCCCCCAGTCCCTCAGGCTCCATTCCAGGTAATCTTCCTTTGGCCTTCATGTGCATCCTTTTCTGGGCACTCACACTATCCACTCTCCTCCCTGAAATCCAAGTCTGGTAACCCAAGATTTTGCTTCCTCCTCCAGTGATCCAAGACAACTTAACATCCAAGGCTGAGGAGGAGGAAGACTCAGGAGGGCAGCCTCCCGGTTCCCCTGGCTCTGTGCAAGGTAATGCTGGTTAAGGCTGACTTAACTCTTAGTTGAGATGGTTTAAACTTACCTCTGCTGGGGTACTTAGGGAGGCAGGAGACCTGTGCTCCTGAAGGGAGGGAGAGTTGTGGAGAGGGCAAGGAGGCGGGACTGGAAAAGTAGACTTAGAAGAGCCAATCACAGAGGTCAGAAAGTCCCTTCATCCCTGCTAGACTCTAAAATGCATAAGGTACTGGCAAACAGAGAAGATTCCTCAGCCACAAGGGACTATGGTGGCCTCCAGGAGAGAAGAAGACAAGGCAGGGCTGGACTATGTGACTTTGTTGCTGTGATGAAGTCGCTGCAATAAGTAAGGCTCAAAATGGTCCTAACAAGATGCTAGATAGACCAACAAACACCCTGTGTGTCCCCAGTGGTGGGTGATGCAACTAGTGTGGCTAGCCTTGTTGTCACCCTGACTGTGGGAACAGTCCCTCAGTGTTAGTCAATTTTACATAGTATGGAATACTAAGAATATATGTTACTAAAATTATATGAAAAGAAATTATTCAAAAGTCTGTAGATGATTTACAATGTGCCTCAGTTACCTGACCGTAAAGAAGCCAGAATTTAAGACAATTTTCATGGTGTTGTGTAAACAACAGACAGCATTAAGGAAATGAACCTTTGTCTGTAATAATGTATTTCAAGTCCCTTTGTTTTTCTTATTGCATCAAAGTTAGTAAAATTTCTAAATATATTTGCTGTTAGCAGATGCATAGGTAACAACAAGGTGGTCAGGGCTGGAGAGGTGGCTGAGTGGCTAAGATCATGGGCTGCTCTTCCAGAGGACCTGAGTTCAATCCCAGCACCTACATGGTAGCTCATAACCATCTGTAACTCCAGACCCAAGGGATCTGACACCCTCTTCTGGCCTTTGTGGGCACCAGACACACATGTAAGCAAAATACCCATACGCAAAAAACTTTAAAAATAATAACAAGGTCAGATGAAGGCAAACCCCTGTGAGCTGTCAGATCCCTGCCTTCACTCCCTACCATTTAAGTTCTATTGATTTCCCTTCCAATTTTCTCTTTAGTCCATTCTGAGTTCTGAGATGGGTTCTTTTTCTTTTGCCAGCAGTAAAAGATGAGTCTCCTGCACCAAATGACCTGGAGCTGCCCCAGGAAGCACCCAGCACACCTGCCAACAAGAAAGGTAGAGACATCCTTTCCCTTGAGATGCTTTCTGTTCTTCCAGCTGTGACACATCCTAGCACCCACAATGCAACCAGTTTCTACCGTTGCTGTGTTTCTGTGACTTCTTTTCATTCCACCTTCCTCAAAGGACTTGTGAAGGTGATCCGTAACAAGCAGACACTTAGTCAGATTGAACCAAGCATCCCTCAGAATCACCAGACTCCTATCCACAACTGCTTAGCGTATCTGTCCAATAACAACCTCTTAACCACAGTTGGTCTACCAGGAGGACACTGCTTCCTGGTAAGTCACATTCAGGCAATACCCCATGGTGGCAAGCAGGTTGGATGTCCACTTGGCTACCTACTTCCTGCCTCGCTCTTTGCTCTCCCAGCTTCTTTTCCAAGGTGTCACCATTCAATTAAAATGTGTGCTATTATTGGCCCAGCAAGATGGCTCCTTGGCTAGAGGTGCCTGCCACCACACCTGATGATCTGAATTTGATCGATGAAACCCATAAGGGGGAGAAACAGCCAACTCATTCAAGTTGTCTCTTGACCTCCACATGTGTACGATGGCACACGTGTCCAACACACCACTGCCAATAAATGTAATAATAGTAGTAATAATAACAATAGTAATAGTAATAGCAGGAATAATAATAGCAAACACTGTGACCTCTCTGACACCGTCATCCATTGGCTTCCCCATTGCTTCCTGGGACCCTCCTAAACCTAATTGTTTCCCACCTCAGATCCTGCCATGGTGATTGGTGCCTTCAAGGCATCGTGGGTAGCAGGCAACCCACCCAGTGCTCTGGCCGCTCAAGTCTTTATCTTCTAACATCTTGTGACTTTTTTCCTTCACAGATTCTTGGTTCCTCATGCCCAAAAGTCATCCATAGGCTGTACCGTTATTCGAGCTTAGTAACTAATACAAAAATTCTCATTTTAACACTTGTCCTTGAAGTTTGCTGCCTCCTTTCCAGCTAACACTTTAAAAGGTTAGGAGTGAGCTTGGAAGCTACACACACATGCACACACATACACACATACATAAATACACATGTACACACATACATATACACACAAGAACACACATGGACACATGCACATAAATGCATGCATACACACACACACATACACATGCACACACAATTAATGGATAAAAATATAATTTAATTTTTTTAAATAAAAACCATTGACAGATCTATGTTTGTGGCTATAAAAGACTTTGTATCCTTTCTTCTTAGCAAAAAAGAAGAAAAGATGCATCTGGTCAACTCCCAAAAGAAGACATCAGAAGAAAAGACCCCCACAAGGTGAGATGGGGAGACTGGCCAAGGCTCCTGAGGAGCTGTAGATCTGGTAAAGGCTGGAGTTTGCTCTGGGCTCACTGAGAAGGCACACAGGAGCTCAGTCTGGGCAGTGTGGTGATCTGGCTTTAAATTTCACCAGACCAGTTTTGCCACTGAGTAACTGGTGAACTGGAGCATGCTGGAATCCTTCTGTTCTGACGGCAGGTTACAGTCCAAGGTGAAGGATGGAGAATGACAGATTTCCTCTTTGTATTCATGAGGACAACAACCATCCTTCCAAACTAGAGGGGGAGTTAACAAGTTGCTACTTTGAGATAAAATGGAAAAGAGCCAGGGTCCTAGATCTGAGGGGCAGGATCTTAGGGTTTCTATTGCTGTGAAGAGACACCATGACTGCACTAACTCTTATAAAGGAAAACATTTAATTGGGGTGGCTCACATTTCCAGAGATTTAGTCCATTGTCATCATGGCACAACAACTTGATGGCCTGCTGGAGATGTATCTGGGAGTCCTAAACCTTGCTATGCAGGCAACAGAAAATGCTCTGAGACACTGGGCATGGCTTGAGCATGTATGAAACCTCAAAGCACCCCCACACACACAGTGACACACTTCCTCCAATATGCCCATACTTACCCCAACAAAGTCAAACCTCCTAATAGTGTCACTCCCTTTTGGGGGTATTTTCTTTCAAACCACCACAGGGACAAACCCCAGAAGAGTAGAACTCTGGAGAGGCATCCTTGTGCCGGGAGACTGTGACTGTCCTGGTGGGTGTCAGCTCCCAAAGTCCTAGCAATGAAAGTACTGTGTCCTCCCTCTCCTCAATGAAACCCACTGATCCACCAGCCCTGATACCAAAGAGCCCCTGGGCCCTAGCCACACCCTCCAGTGACACTCCTGGGAACTGCCTTTGTGGCAGGCACTATGCCTGTCCCTTATGTGCCTCTGTACACTTTACCTGCAAGAGATGCTGGGTGGCTTTTAGATGATGTCTGTTCTGCACATGGGTACTACATGGAAGGTCCTCCCTCCCCACCTGAAGAATCTCAGGGCTTTGCTATTCAGGTCTGATGGGACCACCTCATGGTTCAGGAGTCTTAGAAACAGGAAGCAGAAAGCAACCCCCCCAATCCTATATTTGTCTGGTTAATTCAATCAATAAAAGCAAAGTGAGGTGTCGGGGTACAGAGGTCTGGAAGGGAGGGTAGGTTAGGTAGGGAAGTCCGTGAAAGAAGAAAAGGTTCACTGGGTGTTGTAATTTTAAAAAGTGGCAACCAGAGAAAGATGCCATGGGACAGAGCTTGGGTGGAGGTGTTTTTTATTGGGGGAAAGCAAATGGGAAATGGGGGAGGGAAGAAGGGAAACCGGCCTCTGGAGACAGGAACAGCAAAAGAGAAGAGAGAGGCAGAGAAGCAAAGAGAGAGAACGAGAAAGAAAACTGGAAGGTGGGCAGAGCCCTATAAAAGGGAACGAACGTGCACAGATGTGCTCTTAGCGGCTGCAGCTGAGGGCGTCTCCTGTCAGAATCCCAAGGACAGGCGGGTACAGATGGCTGAGTGCTAACACTGGGGACCTCCATTCACGAGTCTCTCTTGGCCCAGGGGTGGCCTCACCTGGACTTGGAGTCCAAGAGAAGCTCAAAGTGGTGGGTCAGAGGACTCCGAGGAAGGGTGACTCAACCAGGACCTTGAAGATGGTGACCAGGTCTCAGATGGCAAAAACTAAACGTGCTCAGACATCCAGATCACAGGGTAAGGCTGAGGATGGGACCTGCCATTGGAAAGGCTCAGTATGGCAGGGCCTCTTAGAGCTGGCACAGGGGTGGGGAGGTACATGAACTCAATGTTAGGAGAGAAAAGTTCAGAGAATGAGGATGGGTGTGAGAGGGGCAAAGAGGCAATGATCTACTGTGGCTGAGGAGAAGTTTTTGTTAAAGAAGCATAGCCACAGGTCATAAGGCCATAGCCACAGGTCACCTCAGCTGAGACCTAAGTCAGAGGGTCTCAACCCTTCAGATTTTACGACCTTAAAGATTACTAAGAACTTCCAAAGGTCTGTGTCCATGTTGTTTGTGTCTGCTTATTTGTACATTATTCATAGCTAAAACCAGTAATTTAAAAATCTTTATTTAGAGTGAAACAATTTGTTTGGTCGTATAACTCTGTATACAAATATATTTCTGAGCCAGGCAGTGGTGGTGCACACCTTTAATTACAGCACTCGGGGAGACAGAGACAGGGGAATCTCTTGAGTTGGAGGCCAGCCTGGTCTACAGAGAGAATTCCAGGACAGAAACACTGTCTGGAAAAACAAACCAACAACAACAACAACAGCAAAAAAGTATTTCTGAAGCAAAAACAAAATTAGAAGATTGGTGTCAGTCTGTGTTCTACAGATCTCGGTAGTTTCGGACTTCATAAGAGACAGATTTTTATAGTTGTTCCTGAATTCGTGGTTATGAGTGGCTGTGGCTGAGAACAGGGGAAATCTAGCCTCACAGAGACATGAAGTTGAAAGGGTCAGGTATTCTTTTTTTTATTTTTTATTTTATTCTTTTATTAGTTCAAATTAGGAACAAGCTTGCTTCACTTTTTTTTTTTTTTTCTTTTTTTTAAGACCTTACATATTTAATAGGAAAGGGTCAGGTATGCTAATAGTCTGTTAGGGTATCTTTGGGCATTCATCTCTAATACTACATAAATAACCATATGGTGGTAGTTTCTTCAAGATTTATCTTATTTTAATTTTGAGGGTGGAGGGGAATATACATAGGCACACAGAAGACCAGAACCATTAGATGCCCTGGAACTAGAGTTGCAGAGGGTTTCGAGCCACACGGTGGCTGGGACCTGACCTCCAGTCCTCTGTAAGAGCAGTACACGCTCTTAACCAGCCCCAGCCTCTTAGTGGTTAGCAGTAGGGTAGACTCTAATTTCATATCTCTGGTGCTGTAGTTCTATTACAATAAAATATATTATGCCAGCTGAGTGTGGTAGCCTGTGCCTTTAATCCCAGTGCTTGGGAGGTGGAGACAGGTGGATATCTTTGAAGTTAATCTCTTTGAAGCCAGCCTAGTCTATATGTTGAGTTCCAGGCTAGTCAGAGCTACATAGTAAGACCCATTCATGTCTCCCAAAAGCAAGCAAACAAAAAGTGTTAGCCATCTTACTCTTTTGGCAGGGGGAGCAGTTTTGTTTTGTCTTGTTTTGTTGTTGTTTTTAATGTAGCCCTAGCTGGCCTGAACTCACTATGTAGATCAGCCTTCCTCAGACTCAGAGAGATACACCTGCCTCTGCCTACCAAGTACCAAGATTGAAGGTGTGTGCACCACACCTGGCCCCCTTCTTATATCTCCCATGCATCCTCTGTTCATATAAGATTTTATAATGTCTCAGACATTTGGAAAGTGCTGAACTATATAGTGAGCTAGCAACACAGGCACATACACATTCTTCTTGGGACAACTGGAATTTCCAGATGAGAAAGAAGTATTTTATATTTACTTCTCCTTCCATGGGGGAGAAGGTGACCTGTCAACCGATGTCCTCAGCTCTGCAGGCCTTCCAGGGTCAGGAGACCTCTCGTGGAGCTTCCACATGCAAGGAAGTCTGTCTTTCTTCTTTCTTCTCCTCTTCCTTCTTCTTTTCTAGAGGTCATCAATGGGGCTTCAAAAACAAATGGAATAAGGAGGCCTCAGAGGATGCCCAGCCTATTACCAAAAACCACACAAGGTAAGGATGGAAAGGATGAGGCACTGCAGGTCTCAGAATGCAGCCAGCAGGAGCCAGTCAGAGCTGCCCTCTCTAAGCCAGGCTTTCACTGCCCTAAGGAGCCCTGTGGGTGTTTATCTCCTCACCACAACCTTCCCGTTATAGCTTAGTATCACTTATGTATAACCGTGCATAGAATGTGTGTGTGTGTGTGTGTGTGTGTGTGTGTGTGTGTGTGTGTTATACCATCTTTTACCCCTCCTGAAAACCCATTTTTACCCTACTGGGGACAATATCACCACCACTAAGAATCTGTGTTTGAGAATATTGCTTGCATTTTTTTTTTTTTTTTTTTTGGTTTTTCGAGACAGGGTTTCTCTGTAGCTTTGGAGGCTGTCCTGGAACTAGCTCTTGTAGACCAAGCTGGTCTCGAACTCACAGAGATCCACCTACCTCTGCTGGGATTAAAGGTGGGCGCCACCAACGCCCGGCTCTCCTTGCATCTGTATTTGGGCTCCTAGATCAAACTCGGATTGCCAGGCCCCACCACACAACTGCCAGGACCTACCACACAACTGCTGTCTAAAAACAACGATCCCCTACAGGGCTCTGGATTCTTCTGTCCCTCCTCCCCATTCTCTCTCTCCTCCCTTTGTCCACCCTCTGATATATATATATATTCTTTTACTCAGAACCCAGGTTGTTCAAATCACTGGCGATTCTCTTTTATGTTCCACGCCTTCGTGGGGCACCGGCACTCTCCCAGCTCCCAGGAGCAGCCAGTGCCTCACTGCTTTGTAAAGTCCAGTCCTTCCTAGCGTTCCTTAGTCAGCCCTGCAATTGTGCTTTCATAAGACATGTGCTTCCCCCTCCCTCCTCCTCTCTACCTCCTCCCTCCTTCCCAAGGGCCTCCTCTCTCTCACACACACACCCAAGACAAATCCTGTCTTCCTGCCTCCATTATCTGTCCAGCCGCCGGGGCATAGGTCTCCGGATGACATGTTCCCGGGAAACTCTGTAGCGTTCCCCTCTGGCTCTTTCAGAGTTGTGATTGGTTGTCTGTGTACCTCCTGTTTACTGTGTGAGTGGCATGTGAGGCCGGGAAGTGGACCTTTCTGCTCCTCTGTGCCTCTGTTTATCCTTAATTAACAAACCAGAACACAAGGGAGTCTAGGCCAATGAGAATGCCCATATCTGGGTCTATGCTGCCCTCTGCTGGAATATCCTTGTACTGAGTCTACAGTGGATTATTTCTCGGGACCTTACGCAGAGGCCTGGACAAGACAAGTAGGTACATTAACAAAGTACTTGTCCTTCATGTGCTCATTTGGTCGTCATGATTGGACTCAAAAAAAGACTCAAATGAGCTAAAAAAATTCACCTAAATGCTTCTGAAAGCTTTGTTCTTTACAGTGGAAAAGCAAGTGAGCAATCGCAAATGCCTCTTACTCCTTTTTATCAAACACTCGGGGAAGCAGGAACCCATATCTCGCTGAGCGCTGCCCCCCTCCCCGCCCCCCAGCTCAGCTTCCACCCTGGTGGGCCACAACTTCGGAGTTGATCTGGATGCTTGTGCTATTAGGAGTACTGCTAAGCCATTTTGGCTTTTTAAAAATAATGCTTTTATTTGTTCTTTTAAAACATCATCGTGTATACAATGTGCTTTGATTGTGCCAAAGTGTGCATGTTCCCTCCTGCAGCTTTCTTTCCCTGACCTCCACCCCTCCCCCGCAGTCCCCCTCCCATCTTCAATGTGCTGGGTGTGGGACCAGCCTCTGGAGCGTGGGCAACCTAACAATAGCCAGAGGCACCCCATCAGCTGCCTTCTGTGGCATGTTGGATGGCAAAGCAAGAGCTCTCTGGCACATCTGCATCCCAGGGCCAGCTCCTTTATACATGTCACTGATGCCCGGTCTCCTTACCGCTGAGCCTCGGGCCCATCTGTTAAATGGGCTATCCTTGCCTTCAGCTTGTGAGGATGAAGGATGCAAGTCTTGACGTTCTTGATCTCCCTGTGACTTCTGCAGCCACCCCACGCCCTCACCCAGGCCCTTGGTCCACAGGTCACTAAGTGTGCAGATCTTCCCTGGGCATTTCATCTTCTCGGGTGTAACCATTACCTTGCGTTTCTCCCTGTGTTCTGTGTGTGCTGGGATATCCAGCAGCTGGTCTTGGGGTCGCTAATTAGGTTTTTGTTTTCCAGCCCACTACTCCCCTTCCCTATCAGGCTCCCTCCATAGAGGTTCTATGCTTCAGGAAATTGTTTTTCTCTTTAATTGCTTACTTGCAGGCTCCTGGTTGTTTGCTCACACTAATGAGGCTCTAAACCAGCTGCTGCAGCTTCCTTAGAATGGGGCTGGCTGATGCTGAAGGCCACACAGGCCTTCTCTCAGGTTCCTAAACTAAAGGCCTTTTGCTGAAATGGGCAAATGAGGCTAAGCTAAACTCAGCACCACTGAGAAGTCACCAGCAAACTGCCCTTAGGGGTAGGGTATATGGCTTTAGAAGTCCTGGAACTAAAGGCCCATCACATTTGAGGTACAAGGGGTACCTGCACAGGTGAAAGAGAGTGTGATGCTTATGGGCGGACCCTGCACACTAGCTTGCTGCTCACAGCACCCCCAAACCTCCACTGCCCCTTGCAAGCATATCCAGGACTTCTGTCTTCTTTAGTGCTACGCTTACCACAGGAAATTAGCAAAGATGTTTCCATGGA